ATTCTGTAGAATTTCCATGCATTGTATATCTTGGCGAACCGGGAAAAATGAGATAAGGTTCTTTGGTTCGAATAGAATTGAGTGTTGCTTTGTGGCTTATTTCCCTGATCAACAAGTGATTAATACTTAAGAGATTTGAGTGTTTAATGTTTGTATACTATTAATTATTACTATCTGAAAGAACTCACTTCATGTGTTCGAAAGACAGTTGTAAATGCATTCAGCTCCATCCACCTAAGCAGAAGCTCTTCACTCCTTTTGTACTTGGTGAAAAACGGCAATAAGCTCACCGAACAATATCCTCCGATATCACTGTGGTTGAATGCATAACCTGAAAGTCCGCTGCTTAGCAAGCCCAAAACCGCACTCTTAATCCCATCGTTAGCCTGCCAGCTCACCATCTGGTCTCCTTCCCAGAACAAGCTAGCCCATTTGGGGCTGTTCCGAAATCCAGCCCTCATGAAGAAAACCAGCGGCTCTTGTTGTTTGCTAGTTCTCCACTCATCAGCGAATTCTCGATTTATTTGTGCCCATATTTCAGGGTATCGGTTGTGGGCAGTGATTGGATCTTCTCCTGAAAATTTTGGAAAAAACTTTAGCTCTTTGAAAAAAAAATGACTTTTTAGTGTTCTCAAATGTCTGTTAATTTGTTCTACTTCTGCATGGTTTTAGTCATAATCCTAAAGCATATGAAAGCTTACAAGAATTAGCAATGCATTTATAGTTTCATATATATATATATATTTGGTTATTTCTGTAATTAGGAAAAATTCAGGGGCAATTTCACGATTCATTCAAACTTCTTTTGTCAAGATTTTTTTTAATGGAATTACAGAAGCTCACCTGAATAGAGACAAGCATCCACAGGCAAACCTTCACCAAAATCAGCCATCCAACCTTTAACTCCATCATCCACCATTTCTTGCAGAATTTGCTTGAACCAACTTCCCGTTTTAGGATTCGTTAAATCCAACATTCCCACATCGAAAGCCGTGTTGGGAACCATGTAAGCCCCTCCTTTTTGGTCTTTCACTAGGATGTCCAAATTCTTAGCCTCCTCAAAGAGATTTCTTCTTATGTTTGTCTTCTCATCCATCTTTTATGAACAAATAACCGTAGAAACAAAATTATTCAGAATTTTAGTGATCCTAACAAAATGATTAGTTCTAGATCAATTCATTGAAATGCAGCATACCGGAGCTAAACAAGGGTTGCAATATGTCATCACTTTTATATTCTGTGAGCTAAGATCTTCTATCAGTTGTTTCCATCCCGAGTATCTAGTCGAATCGACTTCCCAATTCCACCATAATTGGGAGCCGATAACAGTTTTCCTTTGTCCTACCCAATCCTGCATGCCAAACACTTAAAGAGCTTAAATATCCCATATTTCTACTCTTAACTTTCACACATCAGCTTCTAGCCAATTTTCGAGCATGGAAAATTTAGGAATTTCTAATTCATTCTTCATTTTTAGTTAGAG